TTGACCCTTGGTAGTATCACCATACTTCTAGGTTAGGTAAAAGTTTAATAAAAAACCTCTTTTATGAGTGAAATTTGAAGTAAATCTTGAATGTAGGGGAAGATCTAAAGGATTGAGGCTTGGAACCCCAACCCACCACATTTTTAGCAATGAAAAGACAATCCTACACCAAGTAGTGCAAACCCACTTATTATTTATTTTATCTTACATAAAACTTCTTTAAAAAATTGTAATGCCTAGCATGACATTCCTCATCACCTTTATAGGGATTAGGAGATACATAGCTACTAGAGGAAGAGAGAAGCTAATGAATGTCACCCACCTAGCTAGGGACATCTATTGATTGTCCTAGGCATTAACTTAGCTTTTATCCATTGAATAAGAGGAATAAAATAACTTTGTACAAGCTTTTTCATTTAAAGTTTTATTCCTAAATACTCCATATAATTCACCTTCTAAAAACTAGCAATCTAAGAGAGTCTCATTTTCTTTTACTGGAGACTTTTCTCGTTGACAAATATAACATAGTTGGCTTGATTTATCTTTTGAATGGCCCAAGAGTAATAGTATTAAAGTAGTTTAAGAGCTTTCTTAGCATTAGATATTGAAGCACCTACAAAAGAGAAAATATCACCAACATAAAGAAAATGGGAGACACACTTTCTCCAATTATAGATGTGCACACCCATAGATCCTCCATGATGCAAAAAAGAAAAAAAAAAGTAGCTCTAAGAACAAAGTAAATATGTACACTGACATAGGACATTATTTCCAATATCTTTATTCAGTTCATCCTCTCCATCCTACTTTAATTTATAATAGTAGAAAATTAAGTGGAAGAAATGTAGTTTACAACCTAATTCACAAATTGATTCAGGAAGTTTGTTCTATGTAAAACCATTTTTTAGCATTTTTTAGCTCATTTTGTCATATGCCTATTATATGTCCACCTTAATAGCATAAACCCACTCTTAGTTGTGGAAACTTAAAACTTATAGATTGGATGTTGTCCCTAAAGAAAAAAATTGAGATGGATCTACCCAACACAAATGCTGCTCACCCTTCAGTGATAATGAGAAGGAGGATTCCTTTAAGCCTATTAAAAACACTTTAGCCACCACTTAGTAAATAGTTTGATATAAATTGATTTTCCTATGTTTGGAAGGGTAGTCGAGCATATTAACTTTGGGTAGTAGCACAACGAAAGTGTCTAGCTAGTCCATAATAATGTTACCTAATTTGAAGAATTCTAAGAAAGCATTAACAACTTGCTCACCCATAATGTTCCATCATTTTTTGAAAAATGACTCTGTAATCCAATCATGGCCTGGCGATTTGTCTCACCGTACTATCTTAATCGCAACCCAAACCTCCTCCACCATAATAGCCTACTCCAAACTAGATTGGTGTTGAAATAACACCCCTTAATTCATATCTAATGAAGTCTACCCATCGAAGTGCACTATTTCTCTCTCCATTTGTTCCAAGTAAATCAAATATTATTGAAGAAATATCCAATCTATCATTGATGACTTCATCGTTTTCATTTTTCATTTTAGTTAACCTATTTTCCTACCATCGACTCAAAGCTATAGAGTTGAAAAAATGGGTATTTCCAACACCCTCCTTAATCCATCTAACATTAGATCTTTGACCCAACTAGACAAAAATCCTCGCAAGTGTGGCTTTGAGTAATTGCAATTTTGCCTTAAGCATAGCTTGTAGCTCCTCCATCAACTCATCAGTCAAATAATCCATCTCCTAAAGCACAATAATTTTAGTCTATAGACTTTTCATTTAGTCCGTGTAACTCAAGCAACTTATTCATGCTCCATAAGAATATAGTCATTAGATTTATTCTATATATTTTCTAAAGTTTTGAATACTAACTACCTTGGTTCGCCTTCATCCATTTTCCCTAAATAATATGCCCAGTTATGGGGTGCGGGAGCCAAATGTCCTCAAATTTGATCTAGTGGGTCACATTTTTTCTACTTTCACCATGAAGAATTCATATGATGGGGGAATGATCTGATCTATATCTATAAGAATCCGAACCACCAACTCTACAAAATATCAAGAATATTAAAGTTGACTAGGCATCAATTAAAATGAGTTTAGATTTTACTTCTTCCCTCCTTATTATTGCACCATGTATACCTAGGTCTAAAGAAGCTTGTATAATGAAGGTGATTCTAAGCCCTGAATTCCTCCATCTTGCTCACTTCATCTGTGAACATGAACATCTATTCCCCTTTTTTTCACATCAACAATCACCAGTAGGGAAGTACTCCCAATATTGCCGATAATGATGTGTTCCCATAATACCTTATGTATTTACTAATTATTATTGACATATACCATTACATCGATCATATAAATAATTTTCAACATATTAAGCCTTCCAATGATGTACTGAGAAGAAAAAATTGTAACCTGTATTAAAGAGATATCCCTCCTCCAAACAACAAGAATGCCTCCAGATTTGCCCATCTCAAGGTGATACAAATAATCCTATTTTCTACCAACAAGCTTATCAATATCATTCCTTCTCAACTCCTCAACCATAGTTTCAAGTAGCCCTATAAAGCTAATATTAAACGTACACACCATATGTATAGATAATTGCACACAAACATCTTATACCCCCTATGACAGTTCAAACAGAGGAGTTCCATTATAATTCAACCAAAGCATGTTATAGACATAATAAGTGAAAATCTTAAATCATGTTATATTTTTGTTTTAAATTTTCAAATAAAATGGGTTGTTTTAATTGTGATTTTTCAGGAATTTATATGAAAGGAATAAAAATTTTATGTATGGCAAAACATTGTGGCGTCAGACATAATATAGACATTATTCCATCATTAACACTGTCAGAGCACCAAAATAAGGACATGGTGTGTCCAGTCTCTATTTGATAGTGACAATGCATTGGAGGAGTTAGTGCCACAAAGCCCAACCAACTATCCTAGCACCGCAATGTTAAAGAAGTCATCACTATAAAGCCAAGTCTCTATTTGTACATCACTGTGCCACCAAATTTTAGTAGTACTAAGACAAAGGAGTGCCACATGGACTTCATAGCTCTTAAAAGTTATTAGTTCAATAATGCTATAGTTTTAATTGTTTAGGTCAAGATCTGACATCAAAGTGACACATCAATTCATTAAATATATGGTCCATACTACTAAGCAATACAATAGAGAAAACCCTTCAATATTGTAGTGTTAGTTCATTTTATGGGCACTGCAACACAAATGTATTGAGCACTATGCCACCAGAATCCATGTTTTTATATTTATCTATAAATATTCTATTTTTTCTGTTAATAGGGGAGTTTAGTTACTTAATTAAACTCAAACTTTAGAGTGTCTCTTTGAAAATTTCTTTGGAGTGATAACTAAGAGATTTTAGGGAGCACTAGATTCAATTCATTAGAGTATTTGGATAGTATTTGAGGAATAAATTCAATAACTTCAAGGAGGAGTATAGAGGCAAACATTAAACAATCATGTAAAATTGTTTTTTTGTATACTTTATTTCTTGTATGTTATTAAAGAAAATGAGTTTTCTCCAATTGTTCTTCATAGATGGCTACTTCCCAAAGTTTTAAATTGATAGTGTAAATTAAATATGGAATACTAATGATTTCTCTTAATCTTTAAATGAATGATAGGTTGTTTTCAATATATAAGGTCTTCATTTAATATACATAGTGGCCAAATGTGCAGTTAATATCAGTTCTAATGTGGAGCCTAGGAATATGAAAGTAATCACAACCAGGTATGTTGGATTTGTATGATGCAAGCATAGGCATAGTGGTTGTCATCTATCAAATTTATAGAGATGGATTATCATGAGGGGGTGATTAAAGTATATGTTTTACTCACTCTTCTAAGATTTTTGTAAGGTGACAGAATACAAAAGTTTTGAGTGGTATTAAGAGTGGAATGCATAAAACCTATATTTTATCTCTTCGCGCTTGACTTAAATGTTGATGAAGCATATGCTCTAAATAACATAACAATTAAGAGAATAAGTAGGAAGCATATTAATTTAAAATTTAATCAATCCAAAAGATTTTATTGATATATGTTTATTCATTACTTTGTTATTGATTTTACTGAAGTGATAGAATCTCCACCAAATCCTATTTTTATTGAGTAGGATAATTATTATAGTTAAAATAGATAGTACTTGTATTTGAAAGTAAACATTCTTTCTAGTGAGATCGATACTTTACTCTATCACTAGATTACTTGATTTGGCACATATACTTGCATGCATTAAGTGGTATTTTTTATTTTTTTTTAAATTAAGGAATACCTAAATATTGTTTAGGTATTGATAGAGCCCTAAGTAAAATTCATATTAGATTTTTGGCACTATTACCATGGAAAAAGTAGTTTATTTGCATATTTACTATATTGTTAAATCAATTACATAATTAGTACTACTATATTCTTTTATTATTTTGTTTGAATTTATTAATTTCATATTTGTGGTTACATTCTTATAAGACTTAGAGGGGAGGCACATTTTTGTTTTGATACTAAAATTGAGATAACCTTTTTAAAGTTATAACCATTAAAAAGATTTTTAAAATAATTTATCCTTTCAAAGCATGGATCATTATAGTACTCTTAAAAATTTTGCAAACCCTTGAGTAGATAGAATTCACCAAAGCATAAAAAGATATGTTATCCAACCAAAGAATTTCGAATTAAAACTTGTCATTATTCTGATGGTACAAACTTCTCAATTTGAGGGAACTCACATTGACTCCCCCAACTTTTGTGTAACAAGTTTCTTTGAAGTATTTGCAACATTTATATATAATGGTGTTAGTGATGATGCCATTAGACTTATATTTCTCCCATTTTTTCTAAGATATAAGGCAAAATATGGTTAAATTCCTTGCGTCCATGCTCTATTACAAAAATGAGTTGGCCCACAAATTTCTAAGAAATTATTTCCCACCTTCTAAGGCTGCCAAGAATAGAAATGACATTATTTATTTTAGACAGTTAGAAAGAGAAACCTTTTATTAGAGTTGGGAGAGATTCAAGGAAATGCTTAGAACTGGCCTCACCATGCTTTACCTAATTAATTTGTTGATAACTCAAACTTTTTTTAACAGATTTGTAGGATCCTTAGAGCCATAATTAATATTATTATTGAATATTCTTTGATTTTAAAGCCTTTTGAAGATGCTTATAAATAAATTGAAGAAATGGAAATAAATAATTTTTAGTGGCCTACTAGTATGGTGAATCCTAAGAGAGTGGTTGGAGTTTATGAAAATTATTCTTTTTTTTTTTTATTTTGACTACTTACATTAATGTTATTTCCATGAAAATGGATGAATTGAAAGTTAATAGTGATCTTAGGAGATATATTACCACTTTGCCAAGACATATAGCTTCATAGTAATTTCAAGCAGAATATTGAAATATATATTTATAGTATATATATATATATAATATATATATATATATATATATATATATATATATATATATATATATAATATATATTTATGAAAAATGATAGAATCTGGAAGATAATGTTCTCCAATTAGGAATGCAAATAAATAGCCCATCTAATGCTATTAAAAAATTGAATATAAAAAAGGGTAATGGGCTAGATTTAATCATTATCAAAACTTGATAGAACAATATCAAAATATCTAACTTAGAAGTTGGAAAGGTTTAGGAGACCATTATGAAGAGAAAGGCAAATCCCATGATAAGGATGAAAGAGAGGAAAAATAAGAAAATAAGCCCCCCTTAAACAACATTCTAACATATACATTCTCTCTCCTCTTTGCATCTGTCTTCTAGCGATCGGGTTTCTAGGGTTCTTTTTTGTGAGCCTCCCTATTTGATCTTATTGTTTCACTACTCGTTATCAATTCTAATGGCCTTTTTTCATCAATTTTTGGCTTAAGGCCAACGGCCTTTAGGTTTTATCATTTTATCTCTTTAGATGGCGGATGCTCCATCATCTTTCGTTCCCTCTTCTTGGGGTATACCTTATGCTTCCAAGGTCAGAGCTAAGATTGGCTCTTTTGATGATTTTGGAAATGTTTCTAAAACTAAATATCAGTTATTTTGTGATTTTTTAGTGGGTGACGCTACCTCGAATAATATTAGTTTATCTTTTATGAAATCTTTGATAAAGGGTGTTCCGGCTTTGATGATGTCTAATGAAGATATTCTTAAATTGGCTTCACCTTTTCAATTTACATTAGTTGGGAGGATTTCCTTAAAAAGACCTATCCTTTATGCCTTTAGGGATTTTTTTAGTAACTTGAAACTCTCTGGTGTGTATTCCATTGGATTGTTGGATGGTAGGCATGTTGCTATCCAACTTTCTAATGATTTATACCATAGTCAGATTTTTGCTTTGCATTCTTATTGCATAAATAATTGTCAAATGCACTTGCTTATGTGGACTCCTTTTTTTGATATAAAAGTGGAGTCTCATGTAGTACCCATTTGGATTTCTTTTTCTAGTTTGAGGTTGCATTTCTTCAACTCGCATGTGTTGCTCATTTTAGGATCCAATTTTGGTAAACCTCTTCAAACCAGTCAAGCTATTGCTACTAGGTCTCATTAATCAGTAGCCAGGATTTTTCTTGAATTGGATATCACCCAAAAACATCCTAAAGGGGTATGACTAGGTTTAGAGAATTCTAACTATATGAAAAAGGTGGATTTTGTAATTATTCTGGATTTTTGTTTGCATTGTAAAGTCCATAGCCATTCAATCAATGAATGTTTCGTGGTTCATGCTAGCTCACATCATTTCCAATGAGTTGGATGGCACTATATAGTTATAAAATAGCAATGTCAATGTGGCAATTGGGGATATCATGGAAACTTTATCAAAAGATAATCCTAATTTTTTTTAGTAAAATATTAGTATCAGTGGAACTATACCTTAGGATAATCCTATTGTTGATCAGGGAACTAATCCATTGATTTCTATTACTAATGGAACTCATACTATGCCTCAAATGGATAAAAATGATTCTAGCTTGTCTAAGGGGAAAGGGGCACAATATGTTGAAAATGATGTTGGTTTGCAGCTAGAAGAAAATGCAAATGATGTGAGCCAAAAACACTATGATTTACCACACATTAATGGGAAGAAAATCTATAAGGAAACATGTATGGAGGACAATATGCTGGAAGAAGGAGAAATTTTGTCAACAAAGGTTGCTTCAAAATAAGGAAAGTCTGAGGGTAATTTGGATGTTTCATTGCTATCCCCTAATCAAAACAAGATTGCCAATAATGAAGTGGATGGTTTTACCAAAGTTGGTAAGAAGAATAGTAAAACATTTAAACCCAAGGATGTTCAAGCATCTAGGGTTACTCGTGCTTCTATTACACCCTTCTCTAATAGTTGAAGCCATTATTTGGAATATTAAGGTGTGGGGAATTTTCCTTCTAGGAATAGAATTTAGAATTTATGTAGGATTCATAATATTAATGTTTTGATTTTACTTCTACCTTTGATCTCTTCTTCTAAGTTGGATTCTATTAGGTTTTATTTGGGTTTTTATTCTTCTTTTATTAACTGTTCCAACATGATTTGGATTTTTTTGGAAATGATGGGTTAATTTGACCATTCTGCATGACTATCCTCAAATTGTACTCACTAACATCATTTCTCTTCAATTTTATTGTCTTTCTTCCTTTGTTTATGCCTCTTGTTCCAAGGTTGAAAGGAGAATTTTGTGGAGTCAAATTGCTGATCTTGCCTCCAACATTGTGGAACCTTGATTAGTGGGTGGTGACTATAATACTATTTATTATGTTTCTGAGAGGATTGGTGGTAATGCTCCTAACTTCAATGCTATATATGAATTTAATTATTAGATTTTATCTTCAAATTGACATGATATTGGTTTTACTGTGAATGCTTTTATGTGGAATTAAGGTACAATGTGGCAACGACTTGAACACAGTCTTTTTAATAATTTTTGGATTTCTAAGTTTCACAATACTCTCACTAAACATCTTTCTAGGACTTTATTGGATCATTCCCCCATGCAATTGAACTTTAACTTGAATTTTAATAGTATCCTTCTCCTTTTAGATTTCAAAACATGTGGATTTTCCATGATACCTTTTTTGATATTGTGAAGGATAATTGGCATGCTCCTTTGGATCCTTCTGATAAAATTATTGGCATGACTAGATTATGGCTTAATCTTAAGGGCTCAAATTTAAACTTAATTTGTGGAACATAACTATTTTCAAAAATTTATTCTTCAATATTTTGGAGGCTGAAAGTCATGTTAGTGAGGTTGAAAATAAGTATATGAATGATCCTTCTAATGATAATCTCTATTACTTGAAGACGACCAAAGACTTCTTATTTAAGATTTAGGATCAGGAAGAAGCTTAGTGGAAACAAAATGCTTCTTCAAAATTTCTTATTGAGGGGGATAGAAATACCAAGTTCTTTCAAAATATTGCTAACCATAAGAAAGTCACTAGTCATATTCAGAAAATCTCTACTCCCACTAGTCTTTCTTTTGAAGATCCTGTTTTAATTAATGATTTGGGTATTAATTGCTTTAAAAATGTGTTTAATAAAAACTTCTCTCTGAATATGTATTTGGATTTTTCTTTTATTAATTTTGTTGTTACTGAGGAAGAAAACCAAATGATAACTAAAATTCCTTCTAAGGTTGATATTAGGTTACCATTAGAGAGATGAACATTGACTTTGTGGCTGGTCTGGATGGGTTTACTACTAAATTTTTTCAAAAGTTATGACATGTTATTAAAGAGGATTTAGTGAATGTTGTTATTATTTTTTCAAGGGTTCTACTTATCCTAATGTTATTTCTTTAGAGCAAATGTTTTTTGTTAAAGGTCGTTCTATTTTTGATATTGTTCTGCTTGCGTAGGAATTAGTTCATGACTTTTTTTTTTTGAGAAAATGCATATAGCATTAAAATTAAAAAGAAAAACTTATACAAGATAAAAAGAAACTACTAGACACTCCCTTTAAAACAAAGTAAAAGGAGGCCTTATTAGAAATAGATTAAAGCATAATGAGAATATTAGGAAAAAAGGAAACGTCATAATGAAAATAAGACCCTCTACTTATCATTTTAAACCCATAGGGGTGAAGGGGATACCAAATATAAAACAACCAAAATGGTTCGTTAGTATCCAAGAATTCCCAATTGAGTAACAAATAATCGATAGAATGATTCTTAAATTCTATTATTCTAGATCCTTTTTCCAAATACCAACCTATGCTTAAAATAAAAATAGAAAAACCAAGTTTTCTAAATAGAATAAAAAAAAATGAAACGAATGTAATAGAAAACCATCAAGAACTTAATAATGATCTTGACAACTCCACAAGTTCTGCCTTTAAGAAGCTCCACCATTATCAATAATTTCACCAACAATTCTTGAAATTCACTTCCGCCACTCATTTCATAGGTTAAATATTATAGAGGCTCCAATGCTGCCACCAAGAAAGAATGCCTTCCTTCCTCTAAGGCTCCCTTTAATAGGACCAAACAAATTTGAATATTTATTAAACTTTTTATTATGATGAATGATTTACAAGGGAGTTGGAATTTCCCATCTTCAAACAAAGCTTCTCCATTATTTACTTTTTCAAATTTTGAAGGAGTACTCACCTACTTCAGAATGTCATAATCATGTGAGCTACCTATACCTTTTTCACCAATTATATCAACTCCTATTTCACTCAAACCTTCTATATCTCTAACCTTCTCCTTACAAGCCAAATTAGAAGCCAAATAAAATTCTACATCTTCTAAATTTGGAGAACTTCTTGCCATATTTAAAATAACTTCTTCTCTGAAATCAGTTTCAAAGTTTACCTTAATTCCCTTACATCCATCCGATAGTGATAAATCAACGATCCTGTCTCTGTGGAGCTCCTCTTGATGATTTGTTTTTGTATCCAAACCTTTACCAACAACACAATTTTCAGCATCTTGACCAATCTCTCCGTCTTCTAGTTGAAAAGGAACTTTATCAACAGTAACTACATCTTTGTATAGAACTTACTCAAGAATTTTTTCTTCCAAGACC